TTGTTTGCCAAGAATAGGGAACATAAAAAGCAGTATGTAAAGCCCAGTTTTATTACAGAGGTTTAACTTCCCATTTCTCAGGTGCTAACTCATACTAACTCATGTGGTTAGGTTCCTAACTCTCAGACATGGTCCATGTATGTAGTGACACGTATGCATTTATTATATATTGACATTGCTTTCAAATGCACACAAGTCTTTTCAGAAGTATTCTGAAGTTACAGGACTAGGCATCTGGAGACCTGGCCTCTGTATGGCTTTACCACCACCTTCCTGAAGGAATTAAGCAAAGTTTGAAAGTGGGTTTTTTCAATACAATTACATTGTACAGTGCATAATCCTGTTGTGGGGAATAACAAATGTCAGTAAAAATCTGTGCTGCTTTGTGGATTCTGCTTTCCCCTGATGGATTGTGAGCTAGGGCTGTTGAGGGCTCTTCCAGCTTTTCACTTTCCTTGCTACATGATTCTTTGTCCTGGATATATTTCCCTGGTTTTAATTCAGGGTTTTTTTTGTTTGAATGTCTTTAGCTGTTGACCTGCTATAAGGGCAGCTCTTCTCTCCCATCTCTATTTTTCCCTCTGCAGTGTAACCTGTGTGTTATAACTACCCCAAAGTTGTCTTTATGCTGATTATCCTTTTATGTGCACTGTGGATAATGCAGCTTTTCTAAAGAGACCACAAGACTTGATTCATTGATGTTGTAAGAACTGTCAAAATCTTGTGACAGAAGCGGAAAATTTTGTTGACATTGGAAAGAGAGGTGACTAGAGTTGTAATCCAGGTTCCAGCTGTAGGGGTATTTCTATTAACTAAAAAGGGATTCAGAACCTTATACAGAGCTGTTTTTATGAATTTAAAATAATTAAGAACAGTTTTGTTTAGCCCTGGGTATTTCCTGAATGCCTTTGCAAGTCAGACAGTGTAGTGCTGGGCTTAAAAGCCTGTTTTCAGCTTGAGTTGTGTTAAACAAGATAGCCAAAGAGAATTTTTAATGGAAAAGTACATTAACATTTTTTTAAAGTATGTTACAGTTAGTGTTGCTGTTAGTAAAGCAACTGTATACTTTTTAATTACAAATCTCATGTATTTTAGAGTTGTCTGTGACAGAAACCCCTTGTATATGCAGTTTTCTCCATGCACTACCCAAGTGTTTGAGCATCTCGTAAATCTTTAAATACAGAAATAAGGTTAGTGATAATACTCTTTTCTTCTTCAGCCTGTAAGGAAGATGGTTATTTCAAAGGTGATTTACTGCATGAATTTTCTGGTGTTGTGGTTGGAGGTTTTGAAGAAATTCAGTGAAAGCTAAGTTGAATATTGTTTATAGTTCTGAAAAGAGTTATATCCATGCTATTCTCTCTTCAATAGATGGTTTCCTCTGTGGTGCAGCCAGGAGCATCTTCTAGCTCTGGCAGCCTGGTCTGACTTTTGATTCTGCAGAGCAATGATTACTCCTGTAATGCCTTGATATCCAAATATCAAGGCAGAAAGCTTGAATCAGATGGTGAGTGGAAAACTGAGTTAGGACAAATTTAGATTCCTGGACCAATGGACTACCCAAAGGTGCTGGACTTCACATCTGGGTAAAATTTAGTCTTGTTCTTTAGAACAGTGTTGAATATGAGAGAGGATGGTGTTCTGTTTAGGTGTAAAAGACTAAAGATTGATCAAATGACTGGAAGGAAGGTTATGAGGAGCAAGCAAAAAAAGAAGAGACCAGAAAGAATAAATGAGTGTGTTTTGTATTCAGAGCAGTATGGGGAGTGCATGTACTTGAGTACTGTATAACTCACCTTTGCATCTCCCAGTATCTCTCATAACCAAAATCTCAGTAAAGGACATGGGATAAGCATTGGCTATAGATGCTTGTCTTCTACACAAATCTTTTCTGTCCCTTTTCCCCAGTGCTCCATTTACTTGCTTGTTTCTTTTTTGTTTGTTCCTGCCTACCCTTTCACCAAGTGGAGCAGGATTTTTTCATTCCTTATTAATGGTATAAAAAAGAACAAATGCAAAGCAGAAGGTCTGAAGCATGCCTTCAACCATTAAGCTTGAGTAACCAGCTAGGCAGCCAGATGGAAAACCCCTTGTGCTGATGGGGAAGGGTGTCTTGCTCTCTCTGCTGAGATTTCATTTTATTGCTGACTGGGCTGCAGCAGGAGCTGTGTGGAGGCATGTGAAACACCTCCATGCTGTGCACTGGGATGGCATGGTGGGGATGTTGTTGGAAGACTGGAGAGTGAGGATGCTGGCCCTCCCATGGAACCCCCTCCTGCTCCCCCTTCCTTTTCTTTTGCAGTTGCACACAGTGCTGTGGCTCGGAGGTCATTTGTTTCCCACAGCTTCACAGACCACTGTAGCAGAAAGGGAGACAATGGTCCCTTACAAGGGATGATGTGAGGCCTTCTTTCATCTCTAATAAGCCCCTTGGTTTGCACTGTGAGGCCTGTTGTGTGTTTGTGTGTGTGCACAGTTCCAGTGTGAACTGCTCTGCAGCTTCCACTGATATAAAACAACCAGTTTTGTTGTTTTGTTTTTCAAATGGACAACTCTTGGCATGTTACATCCTGAGGTGGATTTTCTGTTCAGTGCAAGCACATCAGGAGACATCCCTTCTTCTTTTCACATAGCTTTTAAAATCTAGGGCCCATCTGGTCAACATCAGCTGTCAGAAAGACCAAACTCAGAAAGCAAGGAAAGGAGGGGGCAGCTGTCTTTAGCTCCCTTATGCTGAACACAAGCTCTGCCTGTTGCTGTGCTTGGGCATGGCTGCTGAGTGAGCATGTCACAAGAGCTCTGTGACAACAACCACCCTGGCAAAGCAATGGACTGTCCCATCACAGAGCAAGCAGAGGCAAATTTGAGACCTTTTTTCTTTTCTGCTATAATGAGTAGAAAAGAAAAGGGAACAAACAATATGATGAAATTTTAAGGTTGCAGGAGTTTGGAGCAGTGGTCCTTCTAGTCTGAGATACCATTTTTATCATGTCGTTTGCCTGATCCTTTAAAATCACACTTCTCAGTCTGGAGAACTTTCCTGCTGCATGAAATAGGAATTTTTTAGCTGCCTTCTGTGCAGGAAAAAGGTTGTGCTCTAGTGGTTCTCCCTTGTTTAAGCCTTGTGTTCTTGGACTAGGAAGGTAGGTTCATGTTGGTCATGAAGTTTTTCCTCCTCTCTATCCCCTTGCTTGACCTGGACAGCTTCTTGCTACAGTTGATTTAAAGGACTCTCTGTGAGGCCCTGTTCAAATTCAGCACAGGCTTATCTTAGGAAATTACTTCAGTAGTCCAGGTCTGCTAAGTTTTTTTGTGTTTCATGTACAGTGTTCAGCCAGGGGAAAGAAAGTCCATCTTTTCACTTGTCTGTTTGGTTGTTGCAGTTCTTGACTACTTAACATCATTCAGCCTCATGTTTCCCCCCAGTATTCCTGGATGTTGTAATGGTCCTAGTGTGAACCTTCTGCTTAACCTTGAAACCTGATCTCTCTTTCCTTAGCTTACTCAGGTTACCTGTTTAACATAGCACAGCCTGGGAAAGACATCAAAGTACACCAAGAAAGAGTTATGCAAAACTGACAGACTCAGATTTCAGCTATACACTGCATGCTTTTCTCCACAGATCAAGTATCTTATACTACATTTTATACTTTCACTGAGTCTGACTCTGAACAATTTTGAGCAAAGTATGAGACCAATTTCCCAAAAATGTGAGACAAAGAAACATTGAATCAGATTATTCCAGGCAAGGCAACTGGACTTTTAGAGATTAGCTGGCAATTTTAAGCTGGACAGCTGAAGGGTCAGTATGCAAACCCATTTTCTATCACTATCCAGATGAAAATGAACCACTTTTTTGGAACTTTCAAATGCATGAGATAGAGGATGTGTTAAATTACCTTCAGAACAATGTTTAGTTGATTTTAGTGGCCAATACATTGCTTTGACAGCTGGCAGAGACGCCATAGTAATACACAGTTTGGTCTCTGAGATACTGGGAATTCTAGGGAAAAGTACAGGTTAAACTTCGTTGTAAGAGAAGAAATGGACAGTCTTTGGAAAAAGTGTGTCTTCCAGCTGTCTCATAAAAATGAGTGTCCATCATTAGTTACTCTCAGACAGGTACAGAACACTGATGGATACATGAAATTAGCATGCAGCATTAAGCATAAATGTGTTTGTATTTCTTCACTTTTGGTAGATAATGTGTAACAGTTGAATGTTTGATCTGGAGGAAAGGTGGTGGTATCTCTAAGGCAAATAATATTTTTCGGAGTTCTTCAAACATTCATATTTTCATCTTCCCTGGAGTCACAGGGAAAATGCTACAGTAATCAAGTTGTAACTTAGGTAATTTCACCATGATATCTGCAAATATGTCCCTTTCTTCTGCTTAAGTGCTGTTGCATAACTTCTTGCAACAGGTATTGTCTTTTGGAGTATATCACTTAACCTTTTTGCTTGCCTGAGCAGAAGAAGACCAAATGCACTTTATTTCATATGATGGAAATACAGTAGCTTCATTAAGTGATGATGCCATGGCAAGGATCTAATTATTTCACTACTTTTGAAATTAATTAAACTGCGAATTAAATAAACTCCTTGTGAACATGAAGCACATAACTCTCAAACAGAAGTAAAGAGAAGTGGGAAAAAAGGACAAGAAACCACAAATATTTTAAATTCATTACCAGCTGGACTTACAGAGCTCAGCTAATATGCATTTCAAATTGCTGTGGCTATACTATCTATTTTTCAATGCAAAATCCCAGAAAGTCTTGTGCATTTTGTATGAGAAGATAGGTTATTGTTTGCTTTTAAGGTGAAGTGGGGAAAAGTCTTGACATTTGAGGATCTCCTGTGAATGTGACGAGGTATTTCTGAGAATATGAAGAGGTATTTAGTGACAATGTTTCCAGTCCATCTCCATGGCCCTGTTAAAACATGAAAATATCCTCCTAAAGAATTCAGAGCTGATAAAGGAAGACTACAAAAACCTCCACAGTTTGGTTTTTTTTTTTAATTTTACAGAATATGATCAACACAGTGTAATAAAAAACTATCACAAACCTTTTAAAAATTCATGTGTTTTGTGGAGTACAGGTGCAGTCCATAAACATGCCTTTGCTCTATGAAGGTTCAAGGAGCCTTGAAAGAGAGTCTTGTGGAGTCTTTACCTATTGTGCTTTTCAGTTGACTTGCTAGCATAAGAAAACCATTAGACTTGCTTAGAGCTGTCTATAAGTTATGCAGTCTCACCTGAGAGACCTCTGGACCTTGAGCAGATGAGAGGTAAGAGCTGTGATGCCTTGTAGATCAGTACTTGGTTAATTTTTTGCAATATTTTTATTCAATCCGAGTGTAATTTTCACATATTTAAAATACACTGTTTTAATAGCACTAGAAAGTCTTTCTCCATGACCTGAAGTGCAGTATGCTCATTGATTTATGCTGCCCTGTCTCCTTTTCATGATGCTTTCTCAGCTCCAGCCAGTTAACCATTCTCTGCTGTCACGGGCTCAGCCATCCCCACCCCGCTCCATTTCCTGCCACTGACCCTGTTTCTGTCTTGGCTCTTCACTCTAATTTTTGTTTTCCCTCCTCCCTTCCCTTTCCACTGGCATATCTTTTTCCTTAAGTCATCCAAAAGTGAAGTAAGAGGATTATAGTGCAAAATACTCATTCCTAGGTAGCAACTGGCTATTAGCTATACCTTGGAGAGCAATGAGATGCTCACAGTGCAAAGTTAAATGGTAATCTGAATACTTTAGAAACTAGATTACAAAGGGGGAAAAATGAACCTGCTTTTAGTGAGACGGCCTAAGATATATTGGGACAGCAACTGAATTTCTCTTTTCTCTTTATGCGCTGGAGTGGCATCTACAGACAAACAAAATCCTCCCATTAGGGTGTTTTCCATGTAATCCATCCAGCAGTCCCCTTCCATGAGGACGTGTTTATTCTGAGCAGGGTGCGTGATTCATCGCCCTCGGGAGATGAGGCAAGGTTTGGTGCTTACCTCAGGCAGTTTATCTCCCCTTGCACCCCACCCTCCCCCTCTTCTCCCCCAGATGTGTGAAGCAGTTTTGTACTAGGAAACTGCATCACTGATAAAATCTTTTAAGGGCAACATCCACCGCATTATTACTTTCCGTGTCATAGAGAACTTCTGCTGTTGCATAATAGTGAAGACAGTTTATTAGAAGTTTATTTGGACAAAGCAGAGAGCACAAAGTAGATGCTGAGAAATGTTACTTTGTTGTGGAATCTCAAGAAGCTAAAAAAAAGTAGACTTGTCCTGGGTGGGAATGGGAGAAATGCAGAAAGGGGGGGCAAAAAAGAAAGAAAGATACTACTACAAATGTCAGAAAATTCAGCCATGCTTCAGAACCCTTGAGACTGCAGTTTCTTTACCTTGAGGAATCAGCTACATAAGAAGAATCTAAATCATAATTTTTGAAAGAAATATAGATCTTTAGCTTGCAGAGAGAGTAGGATGTACTGTTCTGCTGGGAAGGTTAACACATGCAACAGATTTCCTTACTGTACTGGAGCAGGTGGGACTTGACAAGTCCCACACATGTATATTTGATGTGATTTTAATCAATTAAATTAGGCATATAAAAAGAATGAAACGTCATTAACATTCTGTCTGTAGTCCAGCACTGTCCAGTATGAAAGGGAAATAGTTATAGCTGAGTTGATAAATATTTCTTTCAGCGTTACTTATTTTGGTGGTTGTCAAATGAAGAACTTCTATATCCCAAGCATTTCATTCTTCTGAGCCAACGCTGAAATCGTGCATGTCCTCTACAGTGAGCCATTGCTGCTGGTGTATCTATACCAGCTTCAACATGGAAAGCAGAACTGAGATACAAGAACCTTTAAAATAATTTAAAAACTCATGCTAGCAAAAGAAAAGCAGCATGTTAATTCCATTAATGTGGCAGAACTCCCTTATGGGTAATAGGCAAGACTGTGCGATGGGGATGCCAGAAAATCCAAAACGTACACAGAATTTATTTGTGTGTTTAAAATTCATGGCAAACTCAGTTAATCTAAGGGCTCATTAAAGTGTACTTAGAGCAGACTCTGATTTTATGGCTTTATTTGGTATGATTCTATTTGGATGAAACTACTTTTCAAAAGAACTTTGAGGTTTCAAAAGAACTTTAGGTTTTCCAGGATAGTTTTGCATCTGTAACTTTAAAAGAGAAATCCAGAAACAGCAGCAATGTAGGGCAAGTGCCTGCATTATAGTTACACACTAATTAAAAAAAAAACCAAAAAAAACCCCAAAAAAACCCAAAACAACAACAACAAACCCTCAAAAAAAAAAAAAACCAAAAAAAACCCAAAAAACCAGAAAGAACAAACCAAATCTAACTCTCCCCCCCAGACCCTTCAAGCTTCTGACTGTTATAGCAGATCTCTAATAATCACTCTGTATTGTTATAAATGTCTAGCTATAACAAAGTTTTTGCTGACTTTTAGGATAGATATTCAATGTAATGAGTCACTCTTGGGACAGAGTTCACTGCATTGTTCTGCACATATATATATTCTGGGTGTTTTCTGGCTTGTAGGTATGAGTTGTTGAATACAGTTTGATTCACTTCTAACCCAAGCTGCTAAGCAGTACAGCTGTGGAGCTGATAAGCAGGTATTGAATTACAGCCTCAAGTACAGCAATTAAAAGCAGTGACTTGTGTGCTATAGAGAGTGTAAAGGAACTTTATGCATGGACTCTTCCAGCAAATATGGTCAGATTTGCTTTATGTTCATCATTCTTTTTCTTAAATAAAGTTTGAGTCAGAGTACATAAAATCTGAAATATTTATCTGCTTACAGATGAGATTAAAGATGGAGCTGTGAGACATTGATTTGAAAGAAACCTTAATGTTTAAAGCAGTAAAACATGAGCACATTTACTGAGAAACATAGTTTTTGGCTGATTGTTTTTAGAAAATAATTACTAAGATTCAAGAACACCAATGGAAATACCAGTGCTGTGTTGTGGGAGCAAACAAAACTTGGTATTTTCCCTTGCTGTACCTAATTTATGTATATGGTTTTTAAGCCAACACAAAATTCAGGATGGAAAGGAGCTGAATTCTTCTATTCTGAAGTCATTATCAACACTGATATAAATATTAGCACTAACTGTTTGATGTGTTCTGAGTTTGATCTGTTGCTGTGTTTGGCTTGGAAAGCATTCAGTTTTACAAGAGAATGGGTAAGTTTCTGCATATGTATTTTACTGCAGAGTTCCGTGCAGTAAGTGAACATGAGTTCATTTCTCCTTGCCTGTTCCTGAAGTTGGTGAACTTGAAGTTGTAGGCAATGAAACGATGGCTCGAGAGCACGAGGATGCTGCTTCAAACACTCTGCCTCTGTTTTCTTTCTTTTTTCCATGGATGTTTTTCTCTAGGGAAAAAAGCTCAGACACTATAATGGCTAGAATGAGAACAATTTAGCTGTTTTGCAGTCAATACATATGTTAGTTTTTAATATTATATTCCAAATTGATTCATATACTACACTCATTTTGCTTTGGATATGGCAAGGCACTTACAGTGTGGCAAATTGCTTTACGTTGCCTTATTTACTCTTCCGTCTCTGAACTGACATGATAGCCCTTAGCTGTGTTAGCCAAACTCGGCACTACTGCTCTGTTGGTTGTTAAGGGGAAAACTAAAGCTGGGGTGTGTTGCCCTGACAGCGGCCTCCTGCCACTGACCATGGCTTTCAAATCCAATCTCCATTCTGTGAAGAGACTAATAAACTCAAAGCAAAAAAATTGTATCATTGTAGGTTTAACCCCACAGTAACACCTTTGGAGAGCATACTACACTAATACAATTAAATGTTACTGGTGTTTGAAAACTGTTTCTATACCTTCTGTAATTTCACCAGAGTTGCAATGGTTATTGCTGAAATAAGTCACTGTGTCTGAAGAGAAAGGCTAGAGAAGCCAATGGAGAATGACTAATTTCAATTTTTCATTAATGAGTTCTTGCTATAGTCACCTGTGAGTGTTAACTGACAAATGACTGTGCTGCCTCTAGCTTTTAATCTTGCTGTGTCTTGTAAATAAAGTAGGACAGGGCTGAAACTATCATGATAAGCTTTGGTTGGGCACAGAATAATAATGTTGGTTGTTCAGTAAGCATCCTATTTTCTACTAGATTAGCACTGAGAAAGTCACCTGCGGTGACATATGAAGGCACTCTTTTTGCTGAAACACTATATTTCGCATGAATAACAAGTTGTTATTTTCACCATTAGAACTTATTGAAATTCCTGTGACACTTCTTGCAAGAGACAGGATATAACATGTCTTGGCTAAATTCAAAAACCTGATCATGCAAGCCTAGCCAAATTTGTTTTTCTTTGGCAGTGCTTGCCTTTAAAAGAAGGATTATATTAACATTGACTAGGGACACACCAGGAAAAGTGGTAAAGTTTATTAGTATCTATGAATTTGGGCACCTCTTTCCAAGCTTTATGCTGTTTCTTCCACTGTAACCTTTGAATAACAACAAATGTGTTTGAGCCATAGCTGCCCCCATATATCATGTACAAGTGAAGTTCACATTTAGGGTTAAGTATCATGAAAGTAGGTACCAGTTGATGAGTAGTAATTACTAGTTCTTTCTACTATACTCTAGGAGTACATTATGTCTGTGTATAAGCAAAGGTAAGGGTTGATAATTTACCAGAGACAAACCCCTATTCCCCAATTTCTGTCAGACATTTGATAATGTAAATTGGTCTTGCAAATTGCCTCTTCCTTCTTGAAAGCCATTTGTTTATAGTCTGAACAGTGTTTGAGCACTGTCCCAGCCAATAATGACCAGATGTTGCAGTAGGAGTAGAGTAGGAGAGTAGCAGTAGTAGTCTTAGAGTAGGAGACTGGGTAGATGACGTAGTTTACAGTACAACTCCAGGTAAGAATGAAAATTTAGTAGTGGAGTGAAGGGAGGGAAGAGGGAAGGGCAATTGAAAGGCAGATGATCTGGTTTTAAGTAAAAAATACTTTTAATTGGAAAGACAAGTATTTAAGTGTCTACTCAAAGTTGCAACATATTTTTTGAAAACGATGTCAATGTGGATGCCCTCCCCTATTCTTACACTGGCTAAGCTGTTTCCTTGGAAGTCCTTGGTCCAAAGCTGTTGTTTGGGCAGGCTGCCAAAGAATGGGCTGGAAAGCAGCAATGTTCAGCAGGAAATCTGCTTGGCAGGTATCAGTATGGCCTGTATCTATCAGATTATTTACTGGCATGTACAGGTTTTCAGAAAGCATTTCTACTTTAGCAGATTGATTGATTTTAAAAATCGGGGGGGGGGGGGTGGTGGGGTGTTTTTGGTTTTATTTTTTGTTTTGGTTTGGTTTTTTTTGTTTTTGTTTTTTGGGGTTTTTTTTACTAGCTCTGGTTAGGAAATATTGCCAGCATAGTCGGCGTTGGAGCATATACAAGCTGTTCATTTGATTCAGTGGGCATGAATGTAGGCTAGCCATGGCTGCAAGCTATTGATATGATTCTGTTCACCAGCAAAGGGAGGAAGCTATAGGTATAAAACTAGGCCCCAATTTGCCACCAAAGGTATTCCTGCAAATCCTTCTGCCTGCAGAAGCAGCTGAGTGCATGTACCTATCCAGAGGGGGAAATTAGGAAATTGTAATGCAAGTCTGCCATTAGTAACAAGGCTTTGAATCCAACTACTGCCCATTTTTAAAGTGAGTAAGTACAAGAGAGCACTTCCATTTTCTGACTTTTGTGCATGAGCTGTCATTTTAACAACAAACCTTGCTTCACTAAGTTGGAAAGCTGGATATCAATAAACGTGAACCTCTTAGCAAATCCTGTGTTTCCAAAGTAGCTTGATATTGTTGACTGACTTTGTGCTCATCTACATGGTGATATAGTTACATGGCCTCAGTTTTTAACTGATCACATAGTATAAATTTTATTTTACCTAAGTTGATACTAGCAAGAGCAACATTTATACCTGCATATTGTTCCAAAATAAATTATGGAAATCCTATTACTCTTTTACAGAACCAGTTATTTAATTTCATATGATTCATTTTCATGCAAGATTTTTTACAAATTGTTTTGAGGATTAGTTTTCCTTACTGAAAAAAAAAAAAAGTTCTAGTTAGGGAAAGAACAGTCTAGTCTGCCTATCTAGTTTGAGCAATCATAAACCTCTTCCAGTAATTACTTTGCTGGAAGAACAAGGCACATTTGTTAGAACCAACATAAAAGACCTTCAAGAATGACTGGTGTCCAGTAGGTACCAAATATCTAGACCTTACTTATTTCTGGCTGAAACCTTTGCCTAAGTAGATAGTAACATGCAACATGCCTCACATCATGTGCCCCCTCACTGACAGTAGAGGAAGGTACAGAGTGTTGTGGTGATTATCAGTATCTACAAGGCACTTTCCTAACTACTACTTTCTAAACAGTTTTCTTTTTATCATGATTATAGCATGATAATTAAATGAAGAATCTTGTTGTGTTTAGAATTATTAAAGATGTAATGTATATGGAAAATGAATATGTAGAGCACACTTGTGTCATATCTGAATGATCCCATTCATTAAACTGTCATTAACTTGCATCCATCCAGCATCTATAAAATGGTTGTGGGCACTGCTCTTCAGAAAAGAATGCCTACTTTCTTTTAAGAAAATCCAGTGTCACAGTTCATTATGTACTTTTCAAGTCTCCTGTGCCTCGATGACAAGCTAGTTGTATTTTGTCATGCAGCATCCTCAAAGAGCAATTCTACATATGCTTTTCTCCCGCCTTGAAAAAATGCAGATAATAAATAGATTTTTCCACTTCCCCAAACCCTGTCGATGCCTTGTGAAGGCTGACCTAGAACAGAGGCTAGACAGAGTTAAAGAATAAAGTAGGTATTTATTTGAAGGCCTCAGTGGATACACCTTGGGCAGGACAAGAGCACAGCCAGGGCTATACCCAAGATGAACCAAAATGGTCACAAAATGGATGACCAGTCATGTGGTCTCTCACTTTTATAAGCTCTGGTCCATTAGCATATTGGAACTAATTGTCCAATTACAGCTTTAGGTTATGAAGTCACATCCTTCTTGGTTTTCTCTCTTCAGTCCACATTGTTTATGCTCATGGGCCTGAAATTTAGGTGGCTGTCCTTGGTCCCAAGCTAGGAAATTAATTGTTTTGTCTACCTACTCTGTGAAGAGAGCTTACCATCCTTTGATATGAAGCTCAGAACTACACATTATAAAGCAGTAGAGAATTTCAAAAATATAAAAGCTAAAACCTAAGGCATCATGTTTTATGGAGGAAATCAGTCCTTCCACATTATTTGGGCCTCCAGCTTGTTGTTGACATTTTACTTCATGCATGAGTTTGGATGTAAAGCTCTGTGAGATGACTCTGTGCTATCGTGGGTTAGCTCTGAATCTCACATTTCATTCAACTCGGCCACCTGTAGCCTTCTGTCAGTTACAGAAACTTTCTACCAGTGCAGAGCTTCTATGGGAGCTTATGTAAGGGCAAAATTCAAAGCTGGCTTCACAAGAAGTCAAAGTTCTTTAACAACATTCACTAACACACTACTTAGTCCATATTTAGTCCTTTCTTATGTATAACAAGTATATTATCTTTAATCATATTGTTACTTGGTTAACAAAGCTCATCTCATAATTATTCTGCTTTTTAATTACTGTTCTTTTTCATTTGCATTTTAATTACTGTTCTTGATCATTTGCTTTTCAAAGTCCAAGGGCTCCATGGTACAAGTTCTGCTTGAGAAACACGTGTGGCATTCCCCAGGGATTATATTCCATCACAGCACTCAAGTTATTTGTTTTACCTACTCCTAGCCAAAGTGTGAAGAAATTTGAATTGTTTCAAAGTGTAATGTAATCAAATAATGGTGTTTATGCATAAGGTAGGATAGGCAGCTCCAGAGCAGAGAGAAAAACAGCAGTTACTTGGTTTTGCTATGTGGAATAGATGGTCTTCCCATTGTATGTCTCTTTTGTCACATCAGGCTGAATGAGCTTACCCATGGTGTTGCTTTCTAGAAGCAGAAGTCAGTTGGCTTCATTGATTCCAAGATATAGTGAAATCACAGTGCTGCTTTTTGGAGAGGATGGATTAAGGGTATGAAGGGGAAATGGCTGGAATTACCTAATTGAAGTTGCTTTACTTTCTAGCAGTTGAGTTATGCTGGAAAACAGACACATGCTTCATATCACTGGATGTGCAGCTTAGCAAGTCACCCTAATTCTCTTGGTGAATATTCAGAACTTCAGAGCAACAGTAGTATAGAAAGGATAGAAAAGTGTCACAACTTAGGGAACAGTCCTTGCAGGGTGCTACTGGCATAGTGATCAGCCAAGTAGCCATTCCTTGGTGAAAGTA